CCGACAAAAAGGCTGTAGAGGGATTTTCACCTTTCTCTTTCCGTTACATATTATAAGATAAGCTGAGCAACTTACTACAGTGAAAACTGTATATTTGTAACAATTTGATCTTGCCTGTAAACTGGTATGCCTCATATAACAAGTTGTTATTTGAGAATAAACTATTATTACTATAACTAAGTACATGGAATGTTCGGACAATGTGGGAGACTGGAATGATCGGTCGAACGGCTACAGAAATGAGGAGATACAACTTGAAGGTTATCCAAAACATCGAAACTCATGGGACCCAGTCTTGACAGAAAATAATAACTTCAGTAGAGATGGTGTTGTACACTAGTCACAAAGAGGTTTATCCTCCACAAACTCAGGGAGTTGCTCTGATGCTGTCCAAGGAACTACATAAAGAACGAACAGGATGGAAATCTCATGGATCCAGGATTATCAAAGCATCCGTTAAAAAACAATGTAGATGAAGAGAATCACGATGAATGTTGTCGAATGTCACGCATCCACCGATAATAGCAATGACGACGAGAAGCTTCAGTTCCATGAGAGGTAGCAATCGACCATAGTGAAGTGCTCAGGAAAGAACTTGACCCTCCTGATGGGAGACGTAAACTCCAAAGTGAGAATGGACAACATCGGGTATGGAGATATAGCGAGACGAGATGAACTGAGTGAAAAAACTGGACGAGAATGGTAACAGATTCGAAAACTTATTTGGTTATAGGCGGTACAATGTTACCCTACAAACGCATAAACGAAGCTACATGGATCTCACCGCATCATACCACAGAGAATCAGGTTGATCATATTTGGATAAGTAAAAAGCCTGAAGATAATTGGAAAGCGTGAAGACCAGGAGAGGAGCTGTAATGACTTCAGATCACCACGACTTCAGAAACAGCAAGACAAAGGCTCAATACAACCTCCCTTCGACACACTGACAAACTTAATGAATTCAAGGAGAATCTTAACAACAGGTTCCAAGTATTACAGGATCTACTGAAAGAAGAAAATACTATGGAGGACGACGGAAATGGAATCAAATAAGCTCTAACCTTAACGTACCAGGAGATTCTGTGCCTCAAAACGCATCATTATAAAAAATGGATTTCTATCGAAACCCTGAACAAGATTCGAAAAAGAAAGAATAGTACGATAGCAACTAAAAACAGCCAACCAAGAGCAGCAAAAGTCAAAGCACAAGCTGAATACACAGAAGCAAACAAGCAAGTGAAGAGCATCATTAGAACCGACAAGCAGAAATACATGGAAGAGCTAGCAACGACAACGGAATGAGCTGTAAGAGAAGGAAATACGAAACAACTATGTGACAAATGAAGAAACTGGAGTATAAACAAGGCAAACTGGAGTGACCGGTCAAGAGAAGATCGTCGACATCATACGGAATTCATATGATTGATCCAGAACACATGGTTAGAAAGAACATTTATTTGATGTTATTAAGTAATAAGCTGTTTCAACTTTCATAAATTTTATTTCATATATTCAATATGAAAACTTCGAGAAACTCTTAAAAAGACCAACTCCATTGAATCTACCGGAAATCGAAGCAAAACACACAGATCTGCCTATAGATGTCACTTTACTAACAACGGAAGAAACCCCGACGGCCATCAAACTAATCAAGAGTGGAAAAGCAGTAGGACCTGACAACATGGATCATTATTGAGCAATCGGCTGGATGGAACTCGTTACCATACATCAAGCTTCTTGACTATGAGGTGTCTGACAGTATGAATAGGGGTACCTTCTGGAACCTGTCTCAACACTAAACTGTACCTAACAAGACCGCCAATATCATCCGAAGTTCCTAGGACGGTTTACACTGCAAAGTGGTGCATGAAGAACACTCCAAAGCGTAAAGTAGTGTATGCTTCAGACTACAAATACAAGTGAGGTAACTTTTCTCTAAAAGTATCCTGGGTTGAAAGAGATTTAAGTGTTAGTATCCTATGATCTGAGGTCCTACGCTAACTGCGACAAAAATGCCATCCGAGCAAACCACTCATTGGTAACGTTGAGCCGCACTTTCGGCCAGTTCGATGGAATAGCCTTCCACATGAATTTCAACAGTATTTTTCTACCCACTTAAAGCATGGAAACATATCGTTTCCTCCCTCACTTTGAAAGAATAAGAATACATAAGAATGTATCCACGAAAGCCACGAAACCAGTTCGGGGACACAAATTCAAGTATTGTAAAGAGCGTCTTCAATCACCCATAAAAGCACAGACGTTACAGAGATGACTTAATGACTTCCAGCATCCTTCAAACTTCTGAACACCCTGGTAACCACCTACCTAAGCTTAGTCCCAATACAAACCCAAGGGGTAACATCCAGAAACTGGAGACTCAAAACAGTGGAACGACCTGTAGGCACGCCTTGTACTCCATAAGAGTATTGTTATTATTCACAAACATAAGTGTTGTGAAGAAACCATTTCGGGTTTCTTCAAAAACGTAATAGTACACAAGTTTCGATAATGTTAGCATCATATTCGTCACATTTGAAAAAGAGAGTAATAATGATAGAATAATAACAACAAATCAGGTTCTGTGTAATTGAGAAGGATATCGAGTCGAGTTTAAAGAAGGAAAGGGAGTAGTCAAATGTTGAAAATCGCTGTCGTCTGAGCTAGTCCGAGCGAATTCTCAAGAGGCCTTTAAGAGAAAACTTGAAGTATTCTAAATGATTCAGGACAGAATCAACCACAATCGAGGTCTACAGGAAAAACAGTGAGTCATATATGGAGAAATTCAAATACCTGACGTCCACCTGAAGTTTGTGTTGATGTTGTTCAAAGTAACAATGAAAGCTTTACGACAAAACCATCCAGTTCAGAGAACAAAACTCCACCCAAATGTCAAAGTCCTATAACGCTGCCTATTTTGGGACCTCAATTACCGCCCCAGGTGTAAAACAAGGTTTTTGTAGCTAGCTAAACTATCTTTTTTAGTTTCGTTTTTAAGATTGTCTTAATCTGAAGCCTGTTTTACTGCCCTTTGTTGTCAAATTCTTTCCTTTATAAATGCGAATACATTGTGTGATGAGTCGTCAACTCATTGTTTTTTATTCGCCTTTTTTCCAAGTCTCCTCAATCACAAAACTCTGAATGCTTCATTAGCACACTGAATAAATTCGGTCTAGACGCAAAAGATACATCTGTTCTTAAACTGTGTGAAAATTGCACAAACACTGGACTGCATGACCATTAAAATACTCGATGTCTTTATTCTGCTAAATAAAATTGACATAGGTAAATCCGTGGGGCCCGATGAATTGCATACTAGGCTACTAAGTGAATTAGCTAATTTCGTTGCGAACCCTTTAAGTATATGCTTTAATCTATGCTTAACCCAGGTTCGCTTTTCAAAAGACTGGAAAAATGTCATAGTAAGTCCTGTTTTCAAAACAGGTACGAAACATAAACCTGAGAACTACCGACCCGTTAGCCTAACTAGTGTGGTTGTTAAAATCTTTCAAAAGATTATTCGGAAGGAGCTGTTTAAGTACCTCGATGAAAACCGGATCCTGTCGGAGAAGCAGCATGGTTTTAGAATAGGTTACTCTTGTCTCATTAACTTATTAGTCGCTCGTGAAAGCTGGTGCGCTCTTAAGGATCAAAAGTTACTTGTAGACGTAGCTTACATTGACTTCAGCAAAGCCTTTGAAAAAGTTCCGCACAACCGGCTGTTATATAAGCTAAGAAATGTCGGGATTGGAAGCAACCTACTGATGTAGATATAAGACTTTCTAGTTGGGCGCCAACAAAGAGTACGAGTGAACTCAAATTTATCTAGCTGGGAAATTATACCTAGTGGAGTGCCTCAGGCTACAATCTTGGGGCGAGTGTTATTCCTCTTATATGTAAATGACCCTCCTCGCCTAACACCATCATCGGCCTTGCTATATGCTGACGATGTCAAGTTATGGAGAGCGATACAAAGTGCGGGTGACAGCTAAGAACTCTAAAATGACCTGGAGAAATTATCTGAATGGTCTCAAACCTGGCAGTTGCCAATAAATACTTCCATGTGTGTTGTGGTACATATCGGTCATCAAGGTACAGATACATACACGATGAATAACACTGAGCTACCTGTTGTCCAGACACAAAGTGACTTAGGAGTCATCGTTAGCCAAGATCTGAAGACTACTGCACACTGCCGTGCAATAGCCGCCAAAGCTTTTAGAACTTTATGGTCAATACGTAGGGCTTTTACTCATGTCGACGCTAAAACGTTTTTGACCGTGTATACTGTGTTCGTACGTCCTAAACTTGAGTACTGTATACAAGCGGCTAGCCCCTGCTTGAAAAAAGACAATGAGCTTTTGGAAAAGTTCCAGAGAACAGCAACTAAGCTGATTCCCGGAATAGCGAAGTTTCCGTATGATGCTCGACTGGCCAAGCTAAGCATATCCCCTGTTATATAGAAGAGCTAGAGGTTACTTGCCAGAACTAACACAGGCCAATAAGCCTCCTGTCCTTTCCAAACTGAAACTGAACACTGAAAATAAAGTATGCATTTACCAACGTGGTATTCCCCTCGCATTTTTTAAGAAGAGAGATGTGCTAGATAATGTCGAGGTGAAAAAATTATAACTCGAACTACTAATTTTTTTTACAAGGGAACAAAATATTCAATCACCGTTATTCCGTACTCATTTCAAAGAATCTGAAATCTAAACTTTCAATCGCCCGCCTGACACACGTTGATTATGACAACCAAGTTGCTTGATATATCTTTCTTGATTTAGAGCTGTCACTCGGCACTGAGATGCTAGTATGAGGAAGATTATTTAACTGGTGAAAATGTTGAATTCTAGTTCAAGCATCGTTGTGACATGCTTAAATTGACCGCCACAGTTGGCCTTTTGATGTTACGGGATCGTTGAGTTCGTCGTGATATTGTATATTGAAGACCGACACTTGTTCTTAGACGGATCTAAATATGCTTGTGTTGGGAAATGTTGTCTCCTAGCTTAATGTCAACAGTGTTCTCTCAGATAGAGTTTCTAGTTTATTTTCGAAATAAAAAGAATCACAAGATAAACCAGTCAGAGATTAATCAGGTATGTCCAGTAATCTTTGTGTTACAATATTTTACAGCTGTTAATCATTGTTTTGGGTTGCTACGTAAGAGGTGTTATAACACAATTTAAGATTTCTTAAAGATTCCTACATTCTACTTGGTAGAAATCATTAGTGGTAATAATGAGGACGTATCGAAGAATATAAGTAATAACAAGCTATAAAATCCCAAGAAGTGGATGTACCAATAAGCTTTATAAGTGTCTGCCTATGTACTAGTTTATCAAAAAACTTTGGGTCGAATGTTTACAGTTACTCTAGTTTTATGCTTGCGGATTTTTGTATATGACAGTGCTTATACATAGTTGTTAACATGTGTCCATCAAGCGAATCAGCTGTTCATATTCAACAATCATATACCATGAAGTTACACGAATTCTCTGAAGTCAATTATCATTCGAGACTTTTGGAAGTTGTGTAATGTCAATTTTGTTACAAACTGTATTATCTTATTTATTTACTATTTATTGAAACACACAAACGTTGGTACAAGAAGGCACAAAATAGGTATGCACCACATAAATCTTTCGATTTGTGTGAGGGCTGGGATACTTTCCAGACCGAAGCAGGTGGTTTTTTGGGGGGGCCACACCAGGGGCCTTTCACCTAAAGGTTTGATCTACAAGGCAGTGGAGCAATGTCAGGAGATGCTGTCCCATGGTAGCCAGTGACGAACAGTGCGTTCGTACACTATTTGTTACTTCAGGATACTGGAGTCCATGTGTACCATTTGTTTGGAATCAGGGTTTTCCAGCTCCCCTAGTTTTACTCGACGTATCCACCAAACCGGTTAAAGCGCCGTTCATTGGCTTTTCGTTTTCTCAACTTCAAAAACAACAAACTGTAGTAAAACTAATCCATGTTATACAATTCAACCAAAGTTTACCAAGAAAATCCGGCTGCAGCCATTTAAACGCAACATAGATCCTAAAATATATATACATAAGTCCAAGTTGTCATACCCCGTTATAACATCAGGGTAAAATTGTAAGCCCAAATTTCATAGTAGAAGTAGTAATAGGAAAGGTTGGATACAGAAGTTAGTATAATAAAATTACTCGTGAGTCGTTTAATAGCTCAGGATCAAAGGGGAAACAAAGGGTCAGAGCAACTTCACCATTGCAAACGATTTCTGTCCATTTCACCCAGTTTGCGACCATCTGTTATGGCTGTTACGCAAACCGTAACCATGTAGTTCGCACGTGCCGAACTAGCTCATTGCAATAGTCATTTCGGAAAGGAATAAACGTTAAACGATTTGTGTTAGTCCTGGTGATGAAGGTTTCAGCCGATCCAACTTTCTGCTAAATGCATCTATTGATGGAGTTCTGGTCTCATCGTGACGCCAAGTGCACCACTGGTTGGTGATTCAGTGGTAAAGTTTGTAGTCAGTTGGCAAGTTAATAGTTCTGTATTTATGAATGTTTCCAAAGTGTCCTCGTAGATCTGTTCTGGGAAGTTAGAGAAATAAGTATATATCAGATGTAAAGTTACCACTAAGTAATTTGGAAACTGGTTATCACCTTTAGTCATTTTCATAACGGGGAAAATAGGTTTAGTTTAGCCAGTTTTTCAACGCACAATAACTTTTGCGAATCCATGAACTAACGTAGTTGCGGCTCTTTGAACCTTAGCTAGTTTACATTTCAAAAAAATATTTTTACGGTTAGTTATTTTTTCCCGTTTTAGATAATTAAACTCCACACATTGGAAACAGAACGCCACTTTGTACGCTGTTTATTCTCTTCAGTAAATTGTTTAAATGAAAATAAATCCCCAAAAGACATTTATCAGGTTTGTTACTTCTTTTGTAACACTAAATACTTCATAATAGGCTCAGTATTTCAGTCAAGAACTCAGCAAGTTATTGTCAAAGTCGAATCTCGTGTCACTTGTTTGCTATTCTATAGAAAATCCTCTGCCAACACACAAGGTAGGTTGGAGCTTATATGTATGTTTTTCTGTTTCATGTTTGAATTATCAGTTTGCAACAGATTGAATTGTGGATTGTGGCTAGTATTAGAATCCCGAACGCTCATTTCGTCTTATTTGGTGCTCATTAGTTGGATGTACCTGGATCCGTGTCGATGTTCACCATAAGACTCGTAGCCAGTATCTTTTACTTCAAGCACGGACCTGCTATCTACCAGGCTACTAACCTGTTCAATGGGTATAATGTTTATTCATAAGGCTTTGTACTATTCCACTAAGTTTTAATCAGTCTGATAACTAACAAAATAGTAAAGTTGAGCCATCCTCTCAGAATCCACTTACATAAAAAAATTAGTGAAAACGTCGTCTCAATTATCCACATCGAGATTATACGAACGCTTACAAAGTTCGAATGTTTTTTGTTAACTGTCTCTGTAATAACAAGAAGTAGTAACTAGAATTTAGGAACACAAATTTAAATATTCCAGTCTATGATCGTGGTTTAGCTTTTCATTAATATAGTCATTAATATTCATGTTTTCACTCATCTGTTTAGTGTCTTAACGTAAAGTTTAAGAACCTTGTTCGATGCCAGATCCCATTGTGTTCAGAATTAACTGGAAATAGTTATCTTTATGAACAGTCCATTGTTAATTTCTGATTTAAAAACAGAACACTGAAAAGTTTAGTAAGATATTCATTACTAGTTTTTAATCAGTTGTCCGACAATCATCCTGTTTTATTGTACACCTATCTATCATCACTGTATGCATCATTTTACGAGTTTAAATGTGCTCACTATTAAAGTTCCCCCTTGATAAGTTTAGATACTAAATAGTAATCCGAATAGTAATTACGAGCTGGAGGGAGGTTAATCGACGTAAATGATCTCATCAGACGACCTATAACAAATAAATTTATTTATTATTTCAGCTGATTTCCTACCAATTTCTTTTTCTCATTTGTTTTGCTAAAATAGGACTTGAAATCCACACTCTTACAGTTGATACGTTGCACCAGAGCCGTTCATCATCGATTGTACCTTGTAAATAAAACACATTAAAAGCCTTTAAGTTCCTCTATCTAAGTTTGGCTTAATCATTCCCTGTAAATTAAGCATTAGGTAGACCTTTTTAAATGTGCGCTAATTTTATTTGGTTATTTGTTCTCCACACAAGCAAATTATACTAAGTTGCTAAACGTCGGAAATTCACTCTTCTACTCATTAGGATTTTACAATATATTATATTTCTAATACCTTAGAAGTTTGTTCCATTTACGCTTATCTTACTTCTTCATATACAGAACAATAGATTATTGTCGACAAGACTATTTTCTCAAATTACTCAAATTTCAACACTTAATCGTCTCCAAGAGGTGATTCTTGGTCTTTCACTTACACATTCAAATGATCCACAGCTTAGTGCTCATGCAAAACAATGGGTTCATCAGAAACTACCAGAATTGATAACCACACATCTTGCTGTGTATGATGGTAAGTCATTGCACTAATCTTACCTTACGTTTCAGTGGCTGACAAATTCATCGTCCTAAACTGATCGATGTCAACAATTTTCATGCAGCTTCTGTCGCACCTAAATATCAAACTGAGCTAGGCTCAAGACTAGCTACCAGCCCAGCAAAAAGTATAGATGAGCATTGGTTGCAATTTCATGACGCCATAAAAATGGCGAGTGACGTCGCTTGCGGTTTCTCGAAACATCCCGCTTATAAGTACTGGGTTTCTTCAGGCTCTTTACACCTCATTGAAGCCCGTGGGTCTACTCCGAGTGACCGTGAGTTTGACCGCAAACGGGGACTGTTACGTAATGAAATTGGGCAAAGCTTACGTAAGTACCGAGAACCCTGGTAGTCGGAGCATGCCAATGAGTTGAAAGCAACAGTTGCATCTGGCAACTGCCGGAAGCTCTTTCAATTCATCCGATTTACTGGCAGCAAGAAGTCTGGTGTGATCGAAACAGTCTGTAAAGATGATGGGATACCAATCACTAACATCTACCGACGTTTTGGACGATGGGCAGAGTTTTTCGAGGAGCAGTTCAACTGGTCTTCTGCCCCGGCAACATTGATTAGGCTACCCTGCCCTCCATGAACCGTGGCAACTTATCCATCAAATGAGGCGGAATTTCGCAAGGAACTCCGACTCTTGAAGCGCTACAAATCACTGGGCCTAGATGACTTATCTCCGGCCCTTTTTAAAGGTGTTGGTGACTTTCTGGTTAAGGAACTGCCTGCATTGTTTACAAAGATTTGGAAGTTAGAGAGTGTTCCAACATTATGGAATGAGTCAATAGTTGTCCCTATCTTTAAAAAGGGTTTACTTTGTTTCTGTAACAGCTATCTATTGCGTCCAAACTATTGATTTCAGTCATACTTCGTAGATTGATCAAAACTTGAGATTGATTCGCGAAGAGCAGGCTGGTTTTCGTTTCGGTCGAGGATGTACTAATCATATCGAGGATGAAGATATGATTTTTTCACTTATTGTTATTGTGTAGCGTATATGTATTTGATGCCGCCCCTTGTACCAACGTTTATGTGTTCCAATAAATAAATAAGGTCATTGATGTTTTCAATTAGATAATTTTATTCATTTAACTTCAAATAAACTCTAATATGGATTGTAAATAAACATTCAGTTTCTCAATATCTTAATAATGAAATAAAATGTTTGTCCTTTCTACTCTAACTAGTTTATGAGTAGCTCCGATTAGATTTTTTTTGTTGAAAACTATTTAGACTTTATGTTAAGTAAACAGTTTGATCTTGATAGTTCCATAATCTTCAAATCGTAATCACGAATTCTGTAAATGATCACTGATAACTGTATTTTTTTAAATACTATAACCCCTAGAACGAATTTATTATTATTATCATTACTATTCTAGTGAAAAGCGGTGACTAGTGCAATTTCACTGTTACAAAAGTCTGACGTTTGTCCACCGTAGGCGATAGGAGATAATAGCACAATATCGTGAATGGATGGATTATTTATTTATTTATTTTAACATATAGGTATAGGTGCAAGGAGGCACTAAGTACATATGCGCCACACGAATCTCAATTGATTTGTGTGAGGGCTGTGATACTGCCCGGGTGCCTAAACCAAAGCAGATGGTTTTCTTAGGGGTCCACACCCCGAGCCTTCGACCTGAACGTCTGACCCACAAGGCAGTGAAGCATCGTGAGAAGATGCAATCCCATGGTAACCGGTGACCAACGATTGGTTCATACGCCATTTGTTCCAGCAGGATACTGGAGCCAGCCCATGTGCACTATTGGTTTGGAATCCGGTTAAAGCGCCGAACATTCACTTTTCGTTCTGTCATTTTCGTAAACAACACCGGTGTGACGAGAAGGCAGTGAGTAGGACTTCCGTGGGAGAGGCTATATACGCGTGGTCATGTGAGAGCATTTGGAGAGGGAGAGCGGATTCCACCCACTCTCGGCCGTACCAGTACAATGCCTGTAATTAATTGCGATCTGTATCTGATAAATTGAAGTTGGAAAAAGAAGCTCCTAAAGAGCTATATACAAAAGAGTGATAGTGAAATTTCTTACATGAACATCAGTCAGCGATATTCAACACATAATTATTGGTACAAGGGGGCACCAAATATATATGCGCCGCACAACATTTTATTTGTGTGTGGGCTGTGATACTGCCCATGTGTCCAAACCGAAGCAGGTGGTTTACTTAGAGGGCAACAACCCGAGCCTTCGACCTGAACGTCTGACCCACAAGGCAGTGAAGCATCGTGAGAAGATGCAATCCCATGGTAACCGGTGACCAACGATTGGTTCATACGCCATTTGTTCCAGCAGGATACTGGAGCCAGCCCATGTACACTGTTGATTTGGGATCCGGTTAAAGTGCCGGACATTCGCTTTCCGTCCTCTCATTTTCGTAAACAACACCAGTGTGGCAAGAATTCAGTGAGTAGGACTTCCCTGGCAGAGGCTATATACTCGTGGCCATGTGAGAGCATTTGGAGAGTGAGAGCGGACTCTCCCCACTCTCGGCCATACCAGGGCATTTGGGGGCATGAATGGATGGAAGTTAGATGTGTATACCATGAGATACGGGTTGAGTGTTCGATAGGGTTGTGTTCGATCACTTTGTAGTTGAGTCGTGGGTAGCACACTGCTGAGATGTCTCATACTAGAACTCAAAGTTTACTTAGCAAAGCTCGGTCTGTGATATAAACTATGGACATTCAACAATCTGCACAAATTCTCTATTCTAATTATAATTAATTTATGTAAAAATTGTTCCATGACATACTTTCTTATGATTGTTTGTTCAAATCATATCTTAACATTGTTTTCATCGTTGAATTAATTTTAGTTCAAACAACAAATGGGAATTCGTTAAAATATCTTCAATCCAATGCAGAGCCACAAACAACAAATACTTCCACATCAAAACCTGTTCAAGAACAATCATTAACTACTGGAAGTTTACATGAGATCAGTACAGATTTATTACATTTCATCTTAAGTCATTTATACGAGGATGTTGAACACTATGGAATTTCAGATGATATACTATTCAATTTTATCAGTTCTTTACGTAAAGGTATATTATTACTATTATCTGCATTCATTTTTTTTACTTGGGGATGATCGAACTTTTCTTTTGTGTTCGTGGTGCTTTTCTTCTGGTAACATTTTCATGGGTCACAATGGCACAGATACATTCACTCTTTATTATCTCTATCCTGAGTTCGAGTATCCCTTCATACATATCTTTCCATTATCCTATTAAATCATATTCCCAAAGTTTAGTTTTCCTTTTTATCATTACTACCCCACGTGCTAGATGAATGAGTTTACTTAATTCGATCTAATCTAATTCAAAGTATGATATTAAAATACTGCTTACCGTACATAATCTTTACTCGTGGTTTTCACACATAAATCAAATGATTAAATGTATCCCTTACGTAACTTAGAATAGCGAGATATATGTGTTGGTATAGTATTTCTGTCTAGTTATTTCACCTTTTATGTAGAAGAGTTCCTTCCAGCCGAACACCTGCAAAGTTTATGTATTACATTTAAATACATAGATACTGGTACAATGAGGCACCGAATATATATGCGCCACACTTCGTCACTCGATTTGTGTGAGGGCTGGGATAATACCCGGGTTCCTAGACAGAAGTAGGTGGTTTTTTTTAGGGGGCCACTCCCCGAGCCTTTGATCTAATCCACAAGGCATTGAAGCAACGTTAGGAAATTCAGTTCCATGGTAGCCGGTGATCAGCAATAGGTTCCTAGGCCATTCATCCACTGCCTTGTGGGTCAAACGTTCAGGTCGAAGGCTCGGGGTGTGGCCCCCTAAGAAAACCACCTGCTTCGGTTTGGGCACCCGGGAAGTATCACAGCACTCACACAAATCAATTGAGATTCGTGTGGCGCATATGTATTTGGTGCCTCCTTGTAGCAATAGCTATGTTTTAAAATAAATAAATTTCACTCATATCAATATTGTCGAATTAGCGTAGATTGCGCAATCAATGTAACTTGTTTAGAGAGAGAACTCTGATCAAATATAGAGTCTAAGCATATTCAAGAATTATTTCACATGTTTCACATATTCTGACGCATTACTGGTGTACTGATTTCTAACAAAGCTTCATCAAAAATGAAATAATTATGGGCCGTAATTACTTCATTTATCTACGTCAAACAGTATAGCATGTAGATATGTAGTTAGTCTGTATCATACTATCTTGATGAATATTGTATAACTTGGTTGTCAGTCGTAAACTGATTTCCAACTATTTCCTATTGCTCTATACCTAAACTCACTGCTTTAAAGATACCTCGATGATCTCAAACCTACAGTCTGTTGATTTCTGCTTTCGCAGACTATTTTTTTCACCACTATAGAGTTATAAAGAGAGTAGAGTTGTTAAGTATACTTGCTGTTTGGTTGATAAATGAACATCTCTCTTGGTTATATTCTATCCGTATGTCAGTTCGTTTAAAAACTACACTTTTCACTATTAAGCTTCATCAGATTGTTAAGTATAATGCATATACTTTTTCTTTCCTATCGATTAGAGAAAACATGACCTGTTCCATTCATTTATTCTTTTCTCTATAGAATATCCTCGTAGTCGTTTGTCACTGGTACTCAATACCTTATTATATCCAGATATTATCGGTTATCCATTTGTAAATACCTGTCAGTTGGAATTAAATCTAAACAATTCAAGTAAAGTTATCGGTCAACTTAGTTCCCCTATTAAAACGAATTCTACAGTGAATAATGGATTAACAACAACATCATCAGTTTTCACAAAGTCTTCAATATGTGGTTGTGGATTGTCATCATCGTCATCAAATAATCCATATTTGATTGCAGATCTTTTAGAAGAATTAGGCTATGAGTGTACAAAAACGTAATTCATTTGTTTTGTCTTTCTGTCCAAAAAATTTTTTTTTCTAATCTATTTAATTTTGTGATGAAATAATGAATATAAGAGTATCGGGAATAAAAAACAACCACATATTTTATCTTTGATTGCGATCATGAACCGATTGATGTTAGACCACCATTGAAAACCTGGAAGTACTAGACAGTTGTTTCGTCTTGCTGAGGATTCTCACAATAGAACGAAATGGCCGTCCAATGCTTCCAGGTTTTCCATGGTGGTCTAGTTTCAACTGGTTCATGATCTTAACCATTGAAATTATTACAATCTCCATAAAACCCCTATCTGATAATCATCAACATATGCTCACTAGTGACTCGCTTCAAGAGGTATATCCTGGAATTTTAGTGAGATATAGTGACCAGTGGAGTTTAACCAGGTTTGTTGTGAGATAGCAACTCATTGATAAAGATAATAGTGGATGTGTTGCTCAATTTCGTGGATTAGTTGAAGTTAGACATTAACACCGTTGGATGCCGAATGGATCAGTGGTCTAGTGGTTAAGTGCTCGCGCGCGAAACCAGTAGATCCTGTGTTTGAATCTCGCAGGGGGCGAGGTCGTGGATGAGCACTTTCACTGAGGAGTCCCACAATAGGTTGAAACGGCTGATCAGTGCTTCCAAGTTTTCCATAGTGGTGTAGCTTCAATCGACTCATGATCTTAACCATTGAAATATCCTATTTATTCAATAATTTTTAATACTGTTTGAATTATGTCGAATAATTTACAATATGATCACTTGTCTAGATGACTCAACATTCTGTTCACTAGATTCTGAATATTAGGTAATTGAAATTCGTTAACAAGAGACAAGCCTGTTCAACCTAGATTTCATACTAGTTGATATTCTTCAATATGTAATCCTTAAGATGATTAATCCTCTACGTTAGATTCACCCAGTTACATTGTTTTAAGATGTTTATAATTGTAATTTTCAAGCCTTAATGTTATGCTTTGTAAAATATAAAACCTTATTTCAAGATGTGGTCATACTGATTACCTTTCAAACCAGTTAAAATCAATCTGTACTATTTGTCCCTTATTTTGTGTTTTTATTTTCTCTCTTCTGATTACTAAATAGTTGTAATAAGCTTTTCTTAAATTGTTTTTCTAGTCTCGATTCAACACGTTCAGTATTATGTAATTTTGATATGGATGAATTAAATCCTGTAGCTATTGCAAAGTGTTTATGTTTATTTCTTCGAACTATTGATGGACAATTGAATAGAACAAATAGTAGTAATTCAAATGATAATATTACATTTTACAATAATAAAATATTCCATTATGATGATAATGATGAACGATATAATTCAGAAGATAAACAGTCAGGTGAGTAAGAGATTGATTGATGGAAATTTTGCTGTTTTTTTTAAAAAAATATTTCCTATATCATCATCTGTGGGTATTGTGTACCATTATGTTCTATTGTCTATGATTCCTTGAACGTTACTCGACTTTTCCCATATCAGAACATGAATTCGAGTGGAATATATTACTTTTCACTTACTTACTCCTGTTACTCCCAATGGAGGAGAATAGACCACCGACCAGCATTCTCCAATCCACTCTGTCATGGGCTTTCCTTTCCAGTTCTATCGAATTTTTTTCTTCATTTTTCTCATGTCTGTCCCCGTTTCTCGGTGTAATGTGTTCTTTCATCTTCTTGTATTCCTTTGGCCTTGAGGATTCCAAGTGAGAGCTTGCCTTGTGACGCAGTTGAATGCTTTCCTCAATGTGCATCCTATACACATCCAGCACTTCTTCCTGATTTCATCCTCCACTGGGATCTAGTTTGTTCTCTTCCATAGTAGGTTGTTGCTGATAGTGTCTGGTCAGAGGATACTCAGTATTTAGCGTCGACAACCGTTAATAAACCATTGTATGTTCTAGATGATGGCTTTCGTAGTTCTCCACCTGGAGCCCGTGTTCGGTTACTGCCGGTTCCAAGTTCGGACAAAGGAGGAGGGTTGTGCATGGGGTTAGCGACCCCATCCTATAGAAAACTAACTCGCTAAAAAGACGTTAACCAGAAAAATAATTCAAAATGGTATATATATATATATATATATATATATATATATATATATATATATATATATATATATATATATATGATCAAGTGTAACACTTCACCTTGTTGTGTTGTGCTACTTTGTGATTAAATCTGGATGGGAAAGGTACAAGAGAATCAGATGGGCAGAACTGATAGTTGGTAGTATACAATTTTTAATACGTACATAAAATTACAATAAAGGGATTGTGCAATATACGAAAATTACACCATTATAATCATTTTACATTGGTAATATCAGGTTCATCATGCTTTCTGTTTGTTGAAGGTAAGATAAAAAAAAACGCTGAATGACAATAGCCTCTTCAAAGCGGAATAATGAGTGATTCGTTCCTTTTTTAATTATTTGTGATTTTACTGTCCTCTAGGCATCTAGCGATTCCATTGGATAGTACTGTCAGTCAGTCAGCTACGTCGTAGGACCGGGCACATATGTGCATCGGTCCAAGTTGCTATACTTCATTAGCACAACAATATGAACATCGGATTCATAGGAGTAGTCACTTCAATGGTGATAATATATAAAAGAAAGATTGCATATAAGAACATAGTACAGGAAGAAAGAATTAGTTCGTAGAAAGAAAGATATGCGGCGTGTATAAACCGACGACATAGTGATGGATTTTGTACCATGTCACCCATAGTCTCTAACCATTGGTTACGATAGTCATGTGGACTCCAACCAAGTAAGTCTGCATCTACCAACATGGTTCAGACTAGAAGTAAATGACTTGAAACACTGATGCCATGTTTTGATTTGGCGAATAGTACTATACTCTCCTTTATATATAAAATTCTTCAAGAAGATGCTCATAAATTACTTTGTACTATACATATATTTTCTTTCAGTTGTTCCTGTGTACTTACTTATCACAAGTACTTTTTTCACTGTTCTAGTTTGTTACTTCTACCCCCCTCCCCCTCCCCCTCCCCCTCTCTCTCTACAGAAATAATAATTCAAGTAGATTTAATAGAGAAAAAAAAAAGAAACACAATAACCTGTACTCTCACAAAGTTTTTTATCCACTTATTGAGTTCATTGTTACTGTTGTTGTGTAATTTCATTAATATTCATAATTCTTTTATATTTTCACATTTATGAAATGTTTTTCTTTCTTATAATAATAATAATATCTAGATGAATTAAATACTTCATCAGTATTATCATCATCATCATCATCATCATCATTATGGAATATAGACAACTTTTTCACTATTCTTTATGAATTAAATCCAAATATACAATTAACCTTAGTAAGTGACAATAATTGATTTACATTGTATGTGTATGTGTATGTATGTGTGTGTGTGTGTAAAACCTTGTTCACTTTATATGTGTAGCACAATGTCTTGATATGTACTCTAATGTATTGTATATTTCGATTTGATTACCTTAGGGATGATTACTTTTATTATCCCTCATATAGTTTGGTTCTAGCCCTGGTTTCAATTAAATTGAATAATATTAAAAGGTATTGATTGTATATCCAAGATTTAAATTCTGTATTATCATTCAATAAAACTGTACTTATAATGAAACAATGTAATTGGATAAAATACTGTGAGGGTATAATGATGAAGACTGACTCATTCAATGATAGTTAAATCATGCTAGATTTGAAGCTATCACGAGTGAACAAGAAACAAGACTCGGTGACTAAAGACTAGTAAGCTAGCTATTGATGCATCCCAACCCCGCTATCTAGAGGGAGAAGTCCAAGCTTACAATAGGAAGTATTATTATGCAACAGCCAGAAAACGAGCGATTCCACAAACACAATTTAAAACGTATATATATATATATAAATATATATATATATATTCGATATTGCCATGGAGATTTTAAACATTGAATCGGTAAGTTCGTCAATCAACTATATGCGTGGGTGGTAAGAAATGCCCGTGCATACAAGCTCCACAAGATAAAATTACAAAATATGAGTTTTTGGGGATCGATTGTCCCCAACAAAGCATTTAGCTTTCAATTACTACGTCACTTCAGATTTATTCGTTCATATCATCCAGTTCACTCGCGTATTTTGATACATTAATAGATGATTATGTATTATAAATCACTTGATATGACCGATTTGGACTTAGTCGAAACACATTATACTCAAAGATGATGAGTTGTTCAGTATTTGTGGAAATTTGTTTACTTTGTGTTGGTTACTACTCATAAATATGTGTAAGTAGTGTTTAACTACTGTCATTCAGTAGGAGGATTTACAATTTTATCTTCAACGTTACCTATATATCACGTCAGCATATAAATTCTTAAACATATATGTGTAAGTGGAATTCAATTCCATTTATATGCCCCTATTGACTGATGATACTAGCACTGGGATATTCGATGTTTGGAACTTTCTACTTTATACATGAGAAAAAAAATCCATATTGTTAATTGGAATATATGGTATTCCTCACTGTTAACATTCAATCTGCATCCCATATAGGCTTGGTATTTCAACTAGCGAGTCTGTTAATATCATCACGTTCACTATGTTATCAACCAGTTTTCTGTGTACAAGAGTGGTACTAAATATATTTTAATACAGTGGCTTACAAAGAACATTTAGCTTTGTAATTTACATCACGAATTGTATTTAATTAGACCAACTTTGAAAATCAAGAAGCACCATGATAACCTTTTTATCGAGTATTTGACTGCTCAGTAGTCTATATCCACAACCCCATCAGGTATGAAACTTAGAAGCTTTAGGCTTTACAGCAAGCTCATCACCCTTAGAGGACTAATCTAATATCTAGTGATTCACTGTTTTAACTAAAATCAATTCACGATATTGTGTTATCGTCATTCATATTCATGTTATGCTTGATATGGTTGAACTCCACTAGTCATAGCTTTTCATTAGAACTTTGGTGATAAAATCACCTCGCGAAATTAGTCACCAACAACCAAATGAATATATATTCTGTTTTTCATCACAACAATATTTCCAAGTTGAATTATCTGCTGGCCTTTAATTCTATTTTTTCATGAACTGATTGTCATCACGAAACGATCTAATCTAAACAAATTTCAGAGACCTTGCAGCACCAAATAGTTGTTTAGTGACTACGATGAGACTTTTCACCGGTGCACATCTACGGTTCCGAGGTCGGGAATCGGACCTAGGGCCTTCGGTTTCGGGTGTTAACGACTAACATCTAAACCAATGAACCGGTATCCAGTGGTGCACCAGTCTACTGAATAGTCCCATACTATGACAAAACAGCCATCAAGGGTTTCCAGTTTTCAATGGTTGTCTAACTTAGATTGGTTTGTGGTCTCAATGAAATTCAAAAACTCGGTTAGAAATCGGTTGAAAGGAAGAGTTATTTATTTATTTATTTTGACACATATATATTGGTACAATCAGGCACCAAATACATATGCGCCAAACGAATCTCATTTGATATGTGTGAGAGCTGTGATACTGCCCGGATGCCCAGACCGAAGCAGATGGTTTTCTTAGGGGACCGCACCCCGAGCCTTCGACCTGAACGTCTGATCCACAAGGCAGTGGAGCATCGTGAGAAGATGCAATCCCATGGTAACCGGTGACCAACAATAGATTCATGTGCCATTTTTTCCTTCAAAATACTGGAACCAGCCCATGTACACTGTTGATTTGGGATCCGGTTATAGCACCTTACATTCGGTTTTTGTCCTTTGATTTTCGTAAACAACAAGAGTATTTCTTCACTTTTTTTTCTCTGATTATTGTTATTACTACTATTGTCTCTACGCTTAATACATATATACCCATGAAATTTCATTTTCAGATTTTAAACGAATTAGATTGTTCAGAATTTATGATAACAAGTCGTCAGTCTTTCCAATTATTTAAACAATTTATATTCAATAATAATCAATTTCATATATCAGCTAATTATTTCTATCGTTCATGGATTCATTCATTTGGACAATTTAGTTTACTTCAGTATTGTTCTGTATATCCTGATGTAATATGTTTTGATTATTGGCCATATCGTTGTATTGATATAAGTATGTTACAAATATCATTTAATGAAGATGAACAGACAAGTATACAACTATGGTAAGTAGTAAATCATAATGAATATCGTGATATATACTATAATACTATTGATCAATTGCCAAAAATTGTGGTTGGTTGTTTCTTTTTTAAGGGACAAGTACGTCCTGAGTCTTTGACCTATATATGTAATCTATCAGACAGGGAAACGATGTCGAGAAATGTAATCCCAAAGTAGCACAGATGATCAGTATATAGGATCTTAGCTCATTTAATTCATGGATGGTAGTACCATTAGTTAAAAGTTAAAATTATCTGGCTCATCTACGTGAAATCTGCGTATTCAGCAACTCGGTGAAAGTACTTTTTAATGGCATTAAGTAAAATATTCCTGGAAAATCTGTAAACACACGGCTGTATGACAACATTTCAACAGGTAGAGTTAATATTCATAACCCTCAACTTTACTCAGACATCATAGGTGCTGTTATATTAAGATTATTATGTTTTGGATAAATAAAACAAGCTAATCACAATAAATAATTTAATAGTTGAGTTCATGAGTCACTTGATGCTAAACTACCATGGAAACCCCGGGAGTACTGGACGACCCTTTCGTCCTTATGTGGGGCTCCTCAACTGTGTGCATCTACGATCCCGCCCCGCTGGATTTGAACCCCAGGACCTACCGGCTTCCAATAGTATTAATGTCTAACTTCAACGAATCCACAAAAGTGCTTCACTGTTCTTTAATGAGTTATTATCTCACAACACAAACCCTGTACACATCTACACCAATGTGACACTTTACATCACATGCAATTTATTCACGCTCTTGGCAATAACTATACAAATAATCACCTGTTTTATTCGTCTATGTGCGCATGTGACTAACTCTAGTCGTTGTATTTGTGTAATGACTAGTTTATTAGTGTTGTTACAGTCACGTGTTTTATGTGTGTGTGTGTGTGCGTATCAAATTGTAATACAAAGTTAGTTTGTTTTATTACTTTCATCACGTGATAACCATTACTATTTATAGATCAAGGCCATGTTGTCAAGGTTACGCACAATACAGCGTTATAAAATAGTCTATTTTTATCATGAGCAATCCTCTATATACAGGAAGTGTTAAAAAATGTTGTCCAGAATGACAATAAAAGCTCTTCAATTGAACTATTTAACTCAATGAGAAAGCAAAACACCACTAAACACTGCGTTGTTATTATCATTAGAGTCTCCTGTTGTCTCTTCTACGAAGGTGTTACAGTAACCAACATAAGTTTTTAATTTGCAACAGGTTATCTGTGATTTAAAAAAAAAGAGATAAGTAATAATCGTGTCGTGCGTGCGGGATGATGGATACACACTGTTGAGGAGTCCCATACTAGGATGAAATGGCCATCCAGTGCTTCCAGATTGTTAATGGTGGTTTAACTTTAGATTGACTCGTGAGTTCAACAGTGAAAATAATCAAATTGTTAATGCACAACGGTATTATTGGAGATTTTTCTTTCAAAAAGAAAAAACAAAAAAAGAAATGTTTAAACTTTAAAGTATGAATGCTGATCATTTTGACGATGTTGCAGCTGATTGACTAACTGACTGACTGACTGATATTAATTAACTAAATTAATAATTCTAATTTATCAGAAGTAGGTTTTGTTCAGATTTTAGTAATTTAATGATGGATTCATTTGATATTGTTGTTTTATTTGAATCTTCTCATTGATGTTTAGGACTGAAATTGTTCAGTCTCTCATATTGGCATATGTGCATACTGTGCGTATTGTCTCGATATTGCCTTAATTTACAAGCATTATAAGCAAAGATAGATAGTGGCTAGCAGTGGGATCCAGTTTGACACGCGTTTCATCCTGTTTGGGACTCGTCAGCTGGATATACGTGCATCACAGACTTGTTGATGTTCACTCTAGGACTCGGACCCAGTACCGTTCGCTTCAAACGCCATCGCGTTATCTATCCACTCAGCTACTGAGTCCTGATAGCCACTTGCTTATGCGATGGGGTGAAGTTTCATTCACTTGATATAGTTGTTTTATTTAAATCTTCCCATTGATATCTAAAACTGAAATTGTTCAGTCTTTTATATAATGATTAAATTCATAAGTCCATTAAAACTAGACACCACCATAGAAAACCTGGAAGGAACGAACGGTTTTTTTTCGTTCTAATATAGGTCTCCTCAGCAGTATTTATCCATGATCCTTCTCACTGGACTCGAACCCAGGACTTATCAGTTTTACACACGAATACTTAACCTCTAGATCACTAAGTCGGTATACAACGTTATTCATTTTAATTCTAAATTAAATTCTTTCTCTCTTCATACTTGATATAAACATTTGTGTAAGAGTTAATCGGTCACTTAGTTACAATTACTTGAATCAGTAATCATGAATAAATAAATCTATTATATATATATATATTTCTATTAACAAAGACTATTTAATCTTATATAAACTTTATTAAACACCATACATTCATTGATTCTCTCTCTCTATATATATATTAGTAATGAATTGAATTAACTTAATAGATAAGTAAGCTATTACCTTAATTTAACATTTATTTATTGTCATAAGTTATTTAATCGATAGAATCAGGTCATTACATAATAGAAATGATCAATTTTTTTTTAATTTTAAAATATAATTTATGATTTGAGTTAAAAATAATTAAATAATTGAAAAATTCTTTCATTTATACATATAAAAATATAAATACAAGAAACATATCAAATAGAGATATGCATCACACTACCCGGGTACCTGAACTGAAGCTGGGTGATTGTCTTAAGACGGGGGGTAGGTGGGCCACACCAAGAATCTTTGATCTATAGGTCTGATCCACAAAGCAGTGGAGTAACGTCAGGAGATACAGTCTTATGGTAATTGGTTCGTACACCATTAAATTCCTTCAGGAACGTGGATTCCATATTTACCATTGGTTTAGAATCAGGGGTTTCTAACTCCTCCCCTATGTGGGCTCTTTGTGTCCACCAACTTGGTTAAAGCACCGGACATTCAGTTTTCGTCCTCTTAATTTCGTAAACCACACTGGTGCTGTGAGAAGGTAGTGAGTAGGAGTTCCCTATCAGTAGTTGTATGCATTTGGAGAGGGAGAGTTGCCTCTCCACACTTTCGGCCGTACCAGGGCATTTGGTGAAAAAAAAACAATGTCAATCTGATGTTAAGTCTATTTATAGACTGATGTCACAAGAAGAATCATTAAGATTCACAAAATCTTGACCTTGGTTTATAACCATATGACACTTGTTGGTAAAATATGCTGATGAAGTTATTGATGAATAGAGTAAAGTTGTTTTTTAGTAAGGAAATTTATGTTTTGGTTAAATACCTCCCCTTTCCTAAAAAAAAAATAATAAGCGTGTTACGTTCATATGGTTTCGAAACATTGAATATTTATGTATCTCAGGTAGATAGTTTTGATGGGTTTTATTCTTTGATCCTAATATCAGTCAGTCAGTTAGCTGCAACGTAGCACCAGGCACATATATGCATTGGTCCAAGTCGTTATACCGCATTAGCACAACAAGATGAACACCGGATTCATAGAAGTAGTTAATTCAATGGTAGTAATATATAGAAGAAAGATTGCATATAATGAGATAGTACCGGAGGAAAGAATTAGTTCGTAGAAAGAAAGACATGAAGCGATTTTAATCTCATAGTTTAAAGGAAGACAGAGAATGTATACACCTGCGCCATTGTGATCGATTCTGAACCATGTCATCAAGAGTCTCCAACCATTGGTTACGATAGTCACGCTGACCCCAACCAGGCAGTCTGAATCTTCCAACATGGCTCAGACCAGAAGTTAGTGACTTCAAGCACTGATGCCACGTTTTGATGATCCTAATGTACAACATTATCAACTCCTAATCCATGAAACTGTTCAGAGAGAACATACAACACTAAACATTCACATTAATTGTAAATATCTTTTTGTTAAGAAAAGATCTATCAATAAGTCAAGAAAATCGCATATAATATAGGTTCGTGTACATGATTCTGATTGTTGTATGTGACCCCTTCAACCAACTTCTGTGAATATAGTTGTTAACTCGAGCAAAATTCATAAGGTTTTGTTTTTCAACTTATGTTTGAAAGCGATTATTTCAATTCATTTGAAACATTAAGTATTATTCATTAAATACATGGATAATAGAACTATAGGATTTTCCTTCTACAAAATGATGGTACTTCAAAACATTAGTATTCGTCTTTAAATAAATGACATCAATTAAGAAACCAGTAAGAATCAAATGATTATGTGGTATGTGCTACTTATATGTAGACATAAGTAGTATATGATGTTAGTCATAAACAGAATGTCTGATAGTAGAGAGGCAAGAAGATCGAACAGTAATAAAGAATGAAAATAGAATGCAATTTATATGAAAATACGAGAACAAATGAAGTCTGAATTATTTTTAGACAATTGATGGAGATTTTGTTAATTGAACATTTACTAGATGATTGTTAGATTTTATTAATTAGTTCTGTAATTAGTTGTCAAGTACAAATCGATTGTTCCTCACTAGTGTTCTTGTTCATTACAATAATAATTAATTGTTACATCTTACGGTATGACTTAATTGTAAATGAAGAAAATGTAATTTTAACGATCTATTTTCACCGTCTCAATAGCATATGAACGTAACACCCTTATCGTTGTTCGAAAATGGAACAATTGACCCAAAAAAAAACACAGGGTTTCCTCTCTAGGCCACGTGCTGCGTATGCCTGAACACAGATTACCACGACGCACAATGCTAACCGGTGTTAGGGATGATTGGAAGAAAGTTAGGGGTGGCCAAACCAAAACGTGGCATCAGTGCTTGAAGTCACTAACTTCTGGTCTGAGCCATGTTGGAAGATTCAGATTGCCTGGTTGGGGTCCGCGTGACTATCGTAACCAATGGTTGGAGACTCTTAGTGACATGGCTCAGAATCGATCACAATGGCGTCGGTGTATTCACTCTCTGTCTTTCTTTAAACTAAGAGATTAAAATCGCTCCATATTTTTCTTTCTACGTACTAAATCTTTATTCCTGTACTACCATGTTTTTTCTAAAAACTAAGGGTTATACAGTCATACAAAATGCAGTTCAGAAAGTGAGGTGCCATTAAAAATGCTCCATATAACAGGATTGAATCCTTCTCATATCTACAGCAATTTGAATGACTCTCCCAGTCTTCCACATTGTACGAGAATTCCATGTACCTAAATAAATGGTTGCTCTGGTTGTCAGAAGAGGCATTGGCCTCGTGACTTCCTAAGGAACTCGGCTTTCATCATGAGGCGTCATAACTCTTCTAAATGAAGACATTCTGACTCCTAGGGCAGAGTTTAAATGCTTTGAATAGTTTTTTCTGATTAGCATTATTTTAACAAGTTCGTTTTCTATGGGATGGGGTCGTTAACCCCATGCTCAACCCTCCTCCTTTATCGAGGCTTGGGACTGGCTGTAGCCCCCGAAGGGACTCCAGGCGGAGTTTTTGATTACTCCTAATTCATTCATGTAATTCAAAGCTCTTTTACTCACCTTCTTTCTATCATTGATGTGAAGTGTTGTAGCGTTTTTAAACGGCACCCATCTGTTCCATATTCTATATTGTTGGTTTCATAATAAAAAACTGAGTAGTTCTGAACGTTGTATTGAGAATCTGTTTATTTTCTTACAAAAAAAATCAATTCATATACATTTTCTTGATCAAATCCCAGCAATTGTACATTTCAGTCGATTATCGGGCATCTTGGTATTTATTTATTACATCTTTTCATAATATTGATTTGATTGTATGAACAGATATTTATGATGTTTACGAGTGATACAATGGAAAATGATACCTCTGTGTTATGATATAATGAGATTTGTCCCGTCGAACTATTCAGTAATTAAATATTACTACTCATTTTTTTTGTAAACCAATACATGTACATATGTATGTTTATGGTCCAAATGAAAACATTTCCCCCAAATGCTCTGCTACGGTTGAGAGTGTGCAGAGTCGACTCTCTCTCCAAATACTCTCACATGGCCACGCGTATACAAACCTCTGCCAGGGAAGTACTACTCACTGCCTTCTCGTAACACCAGTGTTGTTTACGAAAATGAGAGGACGAAAAGCGAATGTCCGGCGATTTAACCGGACCCCAAACCAATGGTGCACATGGGCTAACTCCAGTATCCTGAAGGAACAAATGGCGTATGAACCAATCGTTGGTCACCGTCTTCCGTCTACGATGCTCCACTGCCTTGTGGTTCAGACGTTTAGGTCGAAGGCTCGGGGTGTTGCCCCCTAAACAAACCACGTGCTTCGGTTTGGGTACCCGTGCAGTATCACAGCTCTCACACATATCAAATGAGATCTGTGTGGTGCATAGGTATTTGGTGGCTCCATGTACCAATATCTATGTGTTAAAATAAATAATTAATTTATCATATGTTGTGTTCATTAAAATTTTCATTGCTTTTTAATATTCTCTACAGGAAAAACATTGATTATGTCCAAGCATTATTAAATTTATCCGATAAAGGTTTATACTCCGATGTATATAAATTGTTGAAACAAGTATTTTTTCTATATCCAGACATTTTGACTGCCACATTACTTGAAACGGTAAGCTACTTGTATTCTATCAATTATAATTTTTGTTTATTTCTATTGTCTACTTAAATTTGAATTGAGTAGTTTAAATAAATTAACAAAAATAAGTCACAGTCTGATCACAACAATGTCAGCCTAATCAATAATATTGTTTGAATTGAGAAAAAGAGATTATATCACCACGATTCTAATTACCTGTGCTTAGAACATATAATTAGAGATGTGTAGAAATTCACTGTTCTACTTTATGAATCTAAATCAATACGGAGTTACACAGAATTAGTCCTGATTCTATTTGAGACTAGTCAGATGAGTGTAGCTTTGTTTGAGTGTTTCTATTCTTATTGAGACATGAATCTATCATCCTTGATGGTTAAAATCCAGTTTTCAATATTAATATATTCATATTTGGAAGGGATTTTGTGGAGATTGTAATAATTTCAACAGTTGAAATCATGAGTCAATTCAAGCTAGACCACCATGGAAAACCTGAAAGCACTGGACGGCTGTTTCGTAGTAGTATGGGATTCCTCAACAGTGCGCCCGCGCGCAAGACTAATAGGTCCTGAGTTCGAAACTCGTGTGGGGCGGGATCGTGGATGTGCACTGTTGAGAATTCCCATAATAGTACAAAACGGCCGTCAAGTGCTTCCTCGTTTTACATGGTGGACTGGCTATAATCGACACATGATCTTAACTGTTGATATTCATGTTTGTCAAATTAGATTATGAATAGAAATGTCACCAGATTGTGTTAAATTGATAAATATTTTTAGATTTTTAACTATATAGATGTTTTATAACATTTTAAAAAGTTTTAGCACTGTTTATGTGTTCTGTCTTCACGTTCATGTGGTTGTAAAACCTATATAATGAATCGGGCAATATCGATGACATTCACCGCTTACAAAATTTCATGTTTGAATGTTACGCTTCAACCCGATAGGAGCTTAATAACACACAAGATAATAATAATCTAAAGAAATGAAATATACTTCCTTGTGCTTAAACATTGATGAATGTAAAACTGTTGATAGACCAGCTATCGAATGTATGTGGGTAAAAGATCTTTCATGAACAATTTCAGCTAATTAAGTCTATTAAAAAATAACATATCAGTTTAGGGATTGTGGAGATTGTTAAGTTTTTGATTGAGATCATGAACCGATTGATGTTAGACCACCATTGAAAACCTGGAAACACTGTGCTCATGATTACCATGTGCTCTCGGAATTCTGATGAAAAGCTGTTACCAGTGGAACTAATCCGTGTCGGATAGAAACACGTATCTACCTCAGTACAATAGAAGATGGTCGCGCAATTTCGTGGATTGGTTGAGGTTATACATTAGCACTATTGGATGCCAGCTCAGTGGTCCAGTAGGTTAAGCGTTCCCGTGCGAGACTGAAGGCCCTATGTTCGAATCCCGCGAGCGGGATCGTGGATGCACACTGCTGAGGAGTCCCACAATAGGACGAAACAGCCATCTTGTGCTTCCATGTTTTCAATAGTGGTCTAACATCAATTGGTTCATAATGTCAATCAAATAAAAATATCATAGTTGTCATCAACTCTCCTGAATTATAGAATATTTCCATTAAGGAATATTATAATGAAGATTATCCATTTGTATCATTCTCTATTATACTTGTTATTAGTTTCCATAGTATTTAGAATAACTATTATACATTACAATGTTGACTGTTATTTTCTTTTATTGATTAGAATATTGGTACATTACGTAATGTAATGCTTGGTCATGCATTTGTTTATTTTTTAACAACTCGAATCAATTCACAAATTCTTCTTCAAACTGCATGGAATGGTGGAAATGTAGGTTTATTATATGAATATATATTTATAATATATATCGTTGTGATGATATGTACCCTTTCAAGTGAATTCACATCATGGGCACCATTTATCTTACATATCTAGTACATGTATCTTTTAAGAATAATCTTTGAAACAATTTCATTCTGTCTCCTAATCAAGTCTTTATATTGTACACAATTTGGCTAGTTATTGTTTTTCTTGATTATGTTCAAAATAGAATACAATTTGCAGTCAGAAGTAGTAAAAGGGCTAAACATTGAAACTAATAATGTAAAGCTTTTTATTCAACGTTTTCCAAATGTTTTTCAACAAACGACTGGTTTTTTAATCTTGATACCAAACATATATCCTTCTATAAGGGATACTATCCAATCAAGGTATGGTTATAATCTTCAGAATCCCATATATATGTCAATTGAATGGAGTGTGATACAATCTTTAAAAATGATAGGATGAATCAACATCATCCTAAGTGAGGATACTGACAAAAACTATCAAAGTTTTAGGGGAACTACGAATTCTAAGCATATGAAATGTACATTGAATTTTTGAATGGCTATTTGTTATTATCATCCTGAAAATACATCTTTTTATTAAAAAGATGACCAGATTACCGCTGTTATTACAGGTGATTTTTTACTTTGTTCTAAGATTTATTTGTCAGATGATTTCATTTTAGCTTCTTACGCAAATAGTAGCAGAGGTCTTTAATTAAAGCATTCTTTGGAGGTTTATTGAACCATTTATTTCCCACTTTAAATTTGACATCCCCTTTCATGGACTATCCATCGCTTTTTGTTGAAATTGTTGGATTATTTATTTATTTGTTTGAACACATAAATCTTGGTACCAAGAGGCATCAAATAGGTATGCGCCACACAAATCTCATTTGATTTGTGTAAGGTCTGGGATACTGCCCGGGTGTCCAACCCGGAGCATTCGACCTAAATGTTCAATCCACAAGGTTGTGGAGCATCGTAAGAAGATGCAGTCCCATGGTAGCCGGTGACAAACAATTGGTTCATAGGCCATTTGTTCCCTCAGGATACTGGAGCCTATGTGCACCATTGGTTTGGGATCCGTTTAAAGCGCCGTACATTCGCTTATTGCTGTCACACCTCTGTACAGTCAGCAGTACGACTTCTCCATCTGACCTTCGTTTTGTTGCTTTTAATCTTACCGCTCTTCAACCGACCTGTCTGGCATGGTAGGACCTTGAGGAACGGTTGTTCCAGCCAGTATAGCTTAGTTGCTTCATCATGATAGGCAATCCCGACCACCACGTCAAGGTAGCAACAATGGTCAGGGTCGTAATTTAAAAGAGGCCTTCATCACATTTAACAGTAAAGTATTATGATGTTCATGTTACTCTTTTCTAATATTCTATAATAAAACATTGTCATTCTACTTGTAAAATCTAAACAAACAAACATTGATTATGCAATACATCATCATCATCATCATTATCTATCTATCTATCTATATGTAGATCTTACTTATAACTAGAGTGTTAATTGTCATTCAAAGAAAAGCAATGCACACGTTATATCACTGTAATATTCAACAAGTAATTCATTGATTTCTATATCAATAATAATCACCATGGTAAAAGGTATAATTCAATTTCTTGAAACGTGGCATGAATATATATTCTATTGATTATTATTATTATTATTATTATTATTATTAATTAAGTAAATAATTAATGCCAATTTATTCATAGGTTTATCCATTAGAACTTAATCAATAGTATTCAGTTCTTAAGCCAATTGATATCTATAATACTTTTATTACTAGTTTGTGTCATGTTGGTGGTAAATGCAAACTACTTGGTTGGTGAATTCCTTGTGACTATCTTCATCACTGATTAGAGACTCTTGGTGACATAGTTCAGAATTGATCATAATGGTATAGGTGTATACACCCCCTGTCTTTCCTTAAACTTTCTTTCTACAAACTAATTCTTTCTTCCTGTACTTTATTTATTTATTTATTTAACACATAAGTATAGATACAGGGAGGCACCAAATACATATGCGCCACACAAATCTCAATTGATTTGTGTGAGGGCTGTGATATTGCTCGGGTGCCCAAACCGAAGCAGGTGGTTTTCTTAGGGGGCCACACCCCGAGCCTTTGACCTGAACGTCTGACCCACAAGGCAGTGGAGCATCGTGAGGAGATGCAGTCCCATGGTAGCCGGTGACCAACGATTGGTTCATACGCCATTTGTTCCTTCAGGATACTGGAGCCCATGTGCACCATTGGTTTGGAATCCGGTTAAAGCGCCAGACATTCGCTTTTCGTCCTCTCATTTTCGTAAACAACACCCCTGTACTACTATATCCTTATATACAACCTTTCTTTTATATATTACTACCATTGAAGGGACTACATCTATGAATCTGGTGTTCATCTTGTTATGCCAATGAAGTGTGACCACTTGGACTGAAGCGCATATATGTGCCTGTTACTACGTTGTGGCGCTGACTGACTGACTAATAATACTTTCATGTAGAATCATTTGTATTGACTGGTATGTTTGTTTTCTACTTGAGGTTCTCAGTCATTCTAATCGAATTGGCTGGAGAACAATTAGACTAAAAATATAAGAAGTGGAAGTTCGAGGATAAATTTGTACTATCAATAGATTGAAGTATAGTGATAATAAAGTGTTCCTCTTAAATAACCAGTATTTACTGCAATACTGTCTTCTTATAATGGATGAAACAATTTGGAAAATATCGATCATAAGTATAATATATCTCACGTTACCCGACAAATTTTCATCACTTACCAAAAAGCCTTTAATGTATAGAGTTAACATATTCAAAACTACTGGCAAATAAGTTGTCGATTACCAGGCTCAAATAGTTTCCCCTTGGGTTCTGTATTTGAGCTCCCAGCTTTCAAGATCACCTCCAATTCAGTGTACTTTCCATGAATCTAAGGAAGTATTCTGACCGTTGTTGCTACCTTGACGTGGTGGTTGGGATTGCCTATCATGATGAAGCAACTGAGCTATACTGGCTGGAACAACCGTTCCTCAAGGTCCTACCATGCCAGACAGGTCGGTTGAAGAGCGGTAAGACTAAAAGCAACAAAACGAAGGTCAGATGGAGAAGTCGTACTGCTGACTGTACAGAGGAGTGACAGCAATAAGGTGTTTCCTTCAGACAACCAGCATAACAGAGATGCTGCCTTCCCAAAAGGAGGGGTGGGGTTAGAAATGGTCGACCCTAAAAATGCACACCTCGCCTTATCCCACGGATATCCGTCTCCGGTGGTAAGGTCTCAACAAGTACGGAGCTAACACAAAAATTACTCATAAGGCCACCTCGAATCCAATTTCTTTTTCAGGTACCTCCAGAACTGGGAAGTGACAACTGCCCTCATAACTTTAACAATACTTAAAGTGATTATCACATACACATTGGATGAAATTTAAACAAAAATTGACTATTGAATTTGATCTCTGTATCACGATACTTTCAAGACACACCATTCAATCTAATCCATTGACATTTTGCGTTCAGTTTTAGGAGCAATTGAACAATATATTTATTTATTATTTATTTGAAGACATAAATATTGGTGCAAGAGGGAACTAAATATATATGCGTCACACAAATTTTCATTTTATTTGTGTGTGGACTGTGATACTGCCTGGGTGCCAAGACCGAAACAGGTGGTTTTCTTAGTGGGCCACACCCGGAGCCTTCAACCTAAAGGTGTAAACCACAAGGCAGTGGAGCGTCTTGAGAAGATGCAGTCCCATAGTACATGGTAACCAACGATTGGTTCATATGCCATTTGTTCCCTCAGAATACTGGAGCCGATGTACACCATTGATTTGGGATCCGGTTATAGCGCCGGACATTCGCTTCTCGTCCTCTCATTTTCGTAAACAACACCCCCGCCACGAGAAAGCAGTGAGTAGGACTTCCGTGGGAGAGGCTATGTGCGCGTGGCCATGTGAGAGCATTTCAAGAGGGAGGGCGGGCCCACCACACTCTCGGCCATACCAGGGCATTTGGAGGTATTGAACAATTTCGTCAGCATTCATATACGTATATCCTTATCAATGATTAACTAGTTTCGAGAGTTTATTGTCGAAACCCTAGTTAAAAGCCTTGTTCATTAAAGTCCATGACAATTAGCCATGAGTTCCATTTTTTTAAAAAAAATTGGTTGAACAACATTGCCAATTGATCAAAGGTCACAATGCAAACCATTGAATATCGCCCCAATCGCTTAAAGTTGAAGCGTTCTCTAGGAAAACCAAAAAGTGTTAATTTTGATCCTTAGTGGAATTGTTAAACATTATTAATGGAGATAACCAACATGAAATAGCTTCTATACTTACTTCTATGTCTATAAAATATAAAGAACAAAAAAAATCAGTAAGATTTTTGTAGATATTATAGTAATTTCAATAGTTGACATCATGAATCAATTAAAGTTAAATCATCATTGGATAATCTGGTAACACTAGATAACTGTTTTATCCTATCTATGACACTCCCCAGCAATACGAATCCATGATCTTGTCTCTCAAGCTAGATAACTGAGCTAACTGACATTCCATGATGTAAATGTTTATCTTCATTAAATCCATAGAATTGACCAATATACATCTATCATTGTTTTTTTTTTATTATCAATGTGTTACTATGTGATAATAATTGAAAAACAAAACAAAAAAAGAAACACACACACATACACACCCCCAAATGCCCTGGTATGGACGAGAGTGTGGTGGGACCGCCCTCCCTCCCGAAATGTTCTTATATGGCCACGCGTTTACAGCCTCTGTCAGGAAAGTCCTACTCACTGCTTTCTCGTAACACGACTGTTGTTTACGAATATGAGAGGACGAAAAGCGAATGTCCGGCGCTTTAACCGGATCACAAATCAATGGTGCACATGGGCTGGCTCCAGTATCCTGAAGGAACAAATGGCGTATGAACCAACCGGCTACCATGGGACTGCATCTCCTAACGATGCTCCACTGCCTTGTGGATCAGATGTTCAGGTCAAAGGCTCGGGGTGTGGCCCCCTAAGAAAACCACCTGTTTCGGTTTGGGCACCCGAGCAGTATCACAGCCCTCACACAAATCAATTGCGATTCGTGTGGCGCATATGTATTTGGTGCCTCCTTGTACCAATATCTATGTGTTAAAATAATAATAATAATACACACATATAGTAATTATCTTTTTTTAATTGAATCTTTTCTATTGAATATAATCCATTACTTTTAGATGTGTTTACTCTTTATGTTTATCTTGAATAAACTATTGACTCATCAAGGTGATATTCTAATGTTGACTAATTTATTTGTCTGAAAATTTTCTTTCTCTTTTTTTTTTCTTTCTTTCCCTTTTTTTTTTGTTTCTTTTTTACTTTCTTTAATGTATCATCCTTATAGGTTTTCTTATTCACTTCTATTTATGGTTTGTCTGAGAGTGAGTGAGTGAGTGAGTGAGAAAGAGAAAGACAGAAAACGTAAACAAACAATAATTTGTATTTTTCATTGAAAATTGATCAAAATATACATATGTCCGGTGTTTTAACTGGGTTGGTAGACACAAACAGTTCACTTAGGGGAGTTGGAAAACCACAATTCCAAACCAATTGTGTACATGGGCTCCAGTATACTGAAGGAACAAATGGCGTATGAATCAATCGTTGGTCACCGGCAACTATGGAATTGCATCTCCTTACGATGCTCCACTGCCTTGTGGATTAGATCTTTAGATCGAAGGCATCGGGTGTGGAGTTGCCTAAGAAAACCACCTGTTTCGGTTTGGAAACAGGGGCAATATCACAGCCCCTACATAATTCAAATAAGATTTGTGTGGCACATATATATCTAGTGGCCTCTTGTACCAGTATATATGTGTTTATGTGATAAACATCTTGAAGTGGATTAACTTGATCAAATGGAATTAAGTGTACATATATGTGTGTATGTGTATCTATTCTTCTTTTGTTCATTAATGTACATTAATGACTTCGATTGAATACTTATTCATTTAGAACATGAAATAATTCATTAAGTTTATAGGGTCAATGAAATGTCACTGAAGTCGTAGCTAAATCATTTGATAGTTAGATTATTGAATATTGTACAAATGATCAATTCTTGTCAAAATCAAAGACAACTAACGCGCATCAGTAAATCATATGTCATGGACTAGTCTATGCGTTGATAGTCACATTTTCGTTTGTACTTATTTTCTATTATTATATTTCTGTAATAATATCCTTTGTGTTGTGTATCGTCTTCAAAGTAGCCATAGTAACTTGATACGCCTAAGGGGGTAGTTGACGTTAGATGTTCACCGCGAAATGTGACTTTATAGTTAACTTTTAGTCATATCATTCCATTTTAATTCTAATAGGCTCTCTATCATTCGTCATAGATGAACGTTAATAATCTAAAAAGTAAAGCTTCATCATATCTAACAGTAGAAACTAGAATGGGTATTTTATCCTACTCCTTTAAATTGATCGGTTTGTGCTGCAAGTACATGCGATGTCTGCTATAGGATTAGGTTGGAAAATATTTAGACGTAACTAAATTCAAACGGTATGTAATTAAAAGCAAAGATGGATAGTGCCTAGCAGTGGAATTCAGAACGTCTGTTTTGTCCTATTTGTGACTCGTCAACTGGATATACTTGCATCACAGACTTGTTGATGTTCACTCTAGGTCTCGAACCCAGTACTGTCCTCTTCAAACACCATTTATTTTATTTATTTATTTATTTGAACACATAAATATTGGTACAGGGGGGCACCAAATATATATGCGCCACACAAAACAATGATAATTTGAAGAGAAGGAGAAAAGAGAAAAAAGAAGAAGAAAAAAAAAGTAATGGACGTGGGGAATTATAAAAAAAAAGGAAGAGAGAGAGAACAATGGTGGGGGAAACGGAAAGGTACAATCAGAAGAGATCTTTCAGTTAAGGAAGATACAACCACTTTTTATGAAGAAAGTAAAAGAAGGTTACAGCACGATCGCCATTGGCTTCTATTCTGAGCCATATTTGATAACGTCTCTAGCCACTGCGTTACACCGTCTCTCGGACCCCAACCAGGGAGTCGTGAAGGACCAACAGAAGCTAGCCCTTTGCAGCTTTCTTTCATACCACGACACCCTTCAAACACCATCGCGTTATCCACTCAGCTACTGAGTCCTGATGTGTTATTAATCCTACTCCTATTGTTATTTAAATTACTTCTATTATTATGGTATTTGTCTTGATCATTTCATCTTACTGTGTTAAGTTCTATGTTGTAAATAACATGACGATATAATGAGTGTAATCACTTCTATTACTACTCATATAATGTTTGTTTGTTTGTTTTTTTCTTAATTCAATGTTTCAATTCTATGTATTTTTCCTTCTTTAATTATGATTTTCTTTAGTTAAATCTATTAACTGGTACAGATTTACAACAACAACGTCATTTATTGATTGCTTCATGTATAGAATATATAGCTCAATTGATGATGGCATCTAATAATGGATCATTCGAACCTAGTACATTATCATCATCTACTCAAATTTCTAACAATCATCATCATCATCATCACCATCATCATCATAATGATGATGATAATGATAATAGTAGCAGCAATTTATCAGTAAATTTTTCACAATTTATTGATTTATTAATCAATATTCATGATTCCAATACTCATCAATGTACTATTTTACCTATATTATTAGGTACAACAGAATATTTATCAATTTCTGTATCTAATCTATTAAATCCAATAAATTATTCATTAAATTCTGATCATTATATAAATCATTTCACAGAATTTATTCATAATAAAGGGATAATAACAATGAATCATTTACCGATTCATTTATTATTACCACCTCATTATTCTATTGATTTAATCTTAGTTTTAATTGTATCTATGGTAAATGTAATCAATTCCAATAAAACAACAACCAGCACCACCACCAACACTACCACCACAACAACAACAACAACAATGAATAGTTTACAAATTATTCATAATTCAGAGATAACTAATCATACATCAGCATCATTAGCATCAATTCAAACTTCAATTAAATCATTTTTATCTCAATGGTTTATTGAACATTTTCATGATAAATTAACAGCGGTAAATGATTATTTTTCTTTTTTATTTTGTTTTAATGAATTAATATAATAGTTGTGTTATATCCTAGCAAAGATTACGTGACGAGTAACTATTCAGTTATTATTTATTATTATTTAGTACAAGGAGACACCAAATACATATGCGCCACACAGATCTTATTTGATATGTGTGAAGGCTGTGATACTGCCTAAGTTCCCAGATCGAAGCAGGTGGTTTTTTTAAGGGGCCACACCCTATGGCAGCCGGTGAGCAACGATTGATTCATACACCATTTGTTCCTTCAGAATACTGGAGTCAGCCCATGTGCACCATTGGTTTGGGATCCGGTTAAAGCGTCGGACATTCACTTTTCGTTTTCTCATTTTCGTAAACAACACCCCCGCCACGCTAGTCTGCTCATACCGGTTGAACATGATTGGTTTTGTCATAGTGCGAAGATTTGTATAAGTCGTATAGTGATTAGTGGATAAGTCACGTGATCGGAAGCCGGACATCAAATCATAACAATGGTGTTTTTTTTCTAAAAAAAAAATATTTTAGTCAAAAGAATACTAACAACTAGGTGAATTTATAAGACATAAATGTTCTTTTATCTTATATTATGATTTAAAGATCTTTATATAGAGATTAGCCTATGACCAACCTTCATGAATAGTTGAAAAGTTTGAGTGGTACAAATTCATCGATTCTTCTCTTTTCTCTCTAGATCTTTAACTCCAGTTATGCTTTATACATAACTTTTCAAAATATGTTCTTAATGTTTTTTGTCATTACTATTATATTATTCCATTCTCTGTTGTCATACATTTGCTTATCCTAGTGTAATGTGGGGACTTGGGCTAACATACATTTATATCAAGTTCTGCATTGATTACTACTAATTGACTAACTGATTTATAACTTATTACATTTATCCAGTGTCCCTAAATCCCTTGGTACGATCGAGAGTGAGGAGAGTTCTCTCTCCCTCTCTAAATGCTCTCACATGGCCACGCGTATACAGCCTCTACCAGGGAAGTCCTACTCACTGCGTTCTCGTGACACGGGTGTTGTCTACGAAAATGAGAGGACGAAAAGCGAATGTCCGGCGCTTTAACCGGATCCCAAACCAATGGTGCACATGGGCTGGCTCTAGTATTCTGAAGGAACAAATGGCGTATGAACCGATCGTTCGTCACCGGTTACCATGGGATTGCATCTCCTTACGATGCTCCACTGCCTTGTGGTTCACACTTTTACGTCAAAGGCTCGGGGTGTGGCCCGCTAAGAAAACCACTTGTTTCGGTTTGGGCACACAGGCAGTATCACAGTCCTCACACATATTAAATAACATTTGTGTGGCGGATATGTATTTGGTACCTCCTTGTACCAATATTTATATGTTAAAATAAAATAAATAAATAATTTATCCAGTTTCTTCTCATGTCACCTATATTAGTAAATATCTCATCTTGCTAACAATTTGTTCTGCTCTCTCCACTATATTCGTTGTCATTCATCAAGACGTTAATAATCTATCTTTTTTTGTTATATTATATATTACAGGATTATGTGTTTACCTCACTGTTTTACAAATCTGCTCATATGATTGTTATTGAACACTTTTTTTTATATCCAGATAACTTTCTGTTCAGATGACTGAAGTGTGTGGTAGCTCCATGAACATCATATAAATAAGCAGTTAATCATACATTAAAGTGTATGATTTATTTTTGTCCAGGCTTTCTGTGGTATTCTAGTCAGTCAGTTATGGGAGTCGCATAGATTGCTACATCATTGATGAAAATAGAATGTAGGAGGAAATCAAATGGGTTCTTATGATCTAGAGGTGGAAGAAAACTATTATCACCTGATTCATTTTTGTATAGGCATTTTGAATCATCCGATTGATATTCAGGATTGCATTTGATCAGTCTCATTTGATATATATATGTGCATCATATGCGGATTGCTTTGATATTGCATTAAGTCTCAAGCACTATAAGCAGGGATGGATGGTGTCTAACACTGGAATCCAAAACGCGAAGTGAACATTAACTCTAGGATACAGATACAACCAGATAACGAGTCCCGAATAGGATGAAATGCGCATGCGGGATTCCACTACTGGCCACCATCCATGTCTGCTTATTATCACATGAAATTGAGTCACTACTTACAACTGAAAGTAAGCCATTAAAGGAAGTAAGATCGATTTTGGTGAAATCATCGTCGAAAGCAGTGTAGATGAGGTCCATTTCGAAGTCACGCAAATGTGAATAATATCAACATAGTCCTTTGCTTCATGGTTTTAAATGGCATGCGAAGGTTAACTTGACCTGAAGTGAGAGAATCTCATCTCAAACATGCTTGTATTGTTGCTTAACGCGTTCACCAAACAGAACTATGTTATGTGTATATTCTAAGTCAATATATTTGCATTCTTTTCTAATTACTTAATAATCTTATCCATTATGATAGAATGGAATGCTTTGCTATCAAAGCATCCCTTTCACAGACTATAACACTCATTGTTAAAAACATTCATGTATACATTACCATATTCGGTGAGACTATAATTTATGGACGACCTATGAGCGACACCAGACTGACGTTGAGACTGTCTATCTAATAAACAGGACTGAATGAGGATTATAAACCTGTGTGAGGAATTACAATTATAATTTACATTTGGTGATTAAGGTTAGGAATTACATTTAAGGTTTTCATCACAAACTGACATCAGCTATAATGATAAGAATCTATTTAGTCAAATGAATTGAGTGCATTTTGCGCCAAACTCTTATACTTGATTGGTTCGTCTATAAATGATAGTCTTTCCCAATATTCTTTAATCATTTTAATCAAAATACTTTATCACTTAGTTACAATTAGTTTTTGTTTTCTTCTTCTTCTTCTTATTATTATTGAAATTTCAGGATCCATTTGCATTAGGTGTTGTTGATTATTTACGTGCACATTATTCATCACATGTAGCCACCACTAGTACAAATTTCATTTCACGTAATAAATTAGCTTTACCTATGGAACTTCGTAAACCTTCACTTAGTTTATTGACGCATATTATACAATCAGCACAAGCAGCTCTTAGGTAAGCTTTTTAACTTTTACTTATGATGTACTTTTTTTTTCAATGTAAAGATTCGTTTCTTTTGTACTATTTTATTTATTTATTTATTTGAACATATAGATATTGGTACAATCAGGCACCAAATAGATATGCCCCACACAAATCTCAATTGATATGTGTGAGGGTTGTGATACTGCCCGGGTGCCCAAACCGAAACAGGTGGTGTTATTAGGGGACCACACACCGAGCCTTTGATCTGAACGTCTGGTCCACAATGCAGTGGAGCATCGTGAGATGATGCAATCCCATGGTAGCCGGTGACCAACGATTGGTTCATACGCTATTTGTTCCTTCGGAATACTGGAGTTAGCCCATGTGCATCATTGTTTTGGGATCCGGTTAAAGCTCCGGACATTCGCTTTTCGTCCTCTCATTTTCGTAGACAACACCCGTGTCACGAGAACGCACTGAGTAGGACTTCCGTGGTAGAGGCTATATGGGTGTGGCCATGTGAGAGCATTTGGAGAGGGAGAGCGGACTCTCCCCATTCTCGGCCGTACCAGAGCATTTTTACTATAGCTAGTTATAACAACCGAACATCAATTTGTTGAATTAGGTTCGAGCTACACCTTATACTATAAAGGCTAGTCGTAATGTTAAATCCTTTTATTTAAAAAAAGAAAAAAGCATGATAAACAGAGCCAGTTGTTGCGATTGGATTATCGAATGTTAAATGCACCTCATCATCAGGCTATTGCTATTGACCATTTCAAGTCCTACTGTATTCAACTCGTTCAAACAGCACTGATATATATATATATATATATATATATGCATGTATAGATTATCCGGAACACCAATTTTATACTTGTTACCGTCAGGGCTTCACGTGTGTATGTACAGTATAGAAATTACTTGTCTCTTGCATAATTCCCAGTCAAGTTAATACATCATAGTAATGAAAAGTAGTACTAATGAGCGGTTTGGGGGGGGGCTATTTTTAATTAATCCTGTAATTTAGCCTTCTGTTTTAAAGTTAATTAGTGCATGAAATTATGCAATCTTATGTAAATAAGTGAACAGTGAGTTGGATATGTAGAACTCGGTCTATTCTCACTTTTTTTTTCAAGATTACGGTCAGATATGTAAAAATATCTAATTTTGCTACAATTCCAAAATCCTCATCTCGGGCAAAAAAATATTGGAAATCCGTAAGCAATTGATTGGTCGTGGGTTCAAATCTCGCAGATATCGAGGTCGTGGATGCGCAGTGCTGAAGAGTCCCATAATAGGACGAAACGGCCGTCCAGTGCTTTTAGGTTTTCCATGGTGGTCTAGCTTCAATTGACTCATGATCTTAACTATTAAAATTGCTATAATATCCACAAAACCCATATGATATCAACTGATAATTGTTGAAACTCTATAACAGTATATATTTACAACATCCAACACTTTGATTCATATCAACAAGTCTGTTAGAAGAAAGAGAGTACGGTGCCATTCTATTGTGGTTATACTTCTATAATTTTATTAGATTAAAAATATCAGATGTTCTGTTTATGATCAAATACAACACACATACATGAAATAAATCACATTGATTGATTAAGTGGCTCCTTAATAAGATTCATATGATAACTGCGATCAGTGGTTGAAGACTACTCAAAATCCAGTCATAATTGCAGGAGATACATTCATTCTAGATCTTGAATTTTAGTATTCGTTCATATATTACATCTTACATTATGGTTTTTGTTGAAATATATCCTTAAAGTTTAATCTTAGTCACTATCAACTACTATAATTTGTCTTATCATGTGAAAATATGTTACAGCTAATTGAATGAACATTTACTTACTTACTTAAGCCTGTTACTCCCAATGGAGCACAGACTGCCGACCAGCATTCTCTATCCCACTCTGTCCTGGGCCTTTCTATCTTGTTCGATCCAATTTTTGTTCATTCTTCTCATGACTATGTCCATTTCCCGGCGTAATGTGTTCTTTTGTCTTCCTCTTCTCCTTCGGCCTTGAGGATTCCATATGAGGGCTTGTCGTGTGACGCAGTTGTGTGCTTTCCTTAATATATGTCCTATCCATTTCCAGTGCTTCTTCCTAATTTCTATCTCCGCCGAGATCTGGTTTGTTCTCTCCCACAGTAGGTTGTTGCTAATAGTGACCGGTTTACGAATCCGAAGTATTTTACATAGACAACTGTTAATCAACACTTATATCTTCTGGATGATGACTTTCGTAGTTCTCTAAGTTTCCACTTCATACAATAGAACTGTCTTGATAATATGTATTGAACATTCTGACCTAGATGTTGTTTGACAGTTGTTTTCAGTTCCAGATGTTCTTCAATTTTAAATATACTGCTCTTGCTTTACCGATCCACGCCTTCACATCTGCATCAGATCCATCGTGTTCATCAATGATACTGCATCAACACCTGAACTAAGGATAGGGGGTGAAGTAGTCGAACGCGTTGACAACTTCACTTATCTTGGAAGTCTGATCAGCCCTAATGGGTTGGTGTCTGACGAAATCTCAGCACGGATTCGAAAAGCTCGCTTGGCCTTTGCCAACTTACGTCATCTATGGCGAAGGCGAGATATCCGTCTATCAATTAAGGGACGAGTATACTGCGCGGCAGTTCGTTCCGTCCTTCTATACGGCTGCGAAACATGGCCTTTAAGAGTAGAAGATATTCGTAAGTTACTAGTATTTGACCACAGGTGCCTTAGAAATATTGCGGGTATCTGCTGGGATCACCGGGTATGTAATAGTGAGGTTAGACGCAGGGTCTGAGCCATGTTGGAAGATTCAGTTTGCCTGGTTGGGGTCCGCGTGACTATCGTAACCAATGGTTGGAGACTCTTGGTGACATGGCTCAGAATCGATCACAATGGCGTCGGTGTATACACTCTCTGTCTTCCTTTAAACTAAGAGATTAAAATCGCTTCATATATTTCTTTCTAGGAACTAATTCTTTCTTCCTGTACTATCTCCTTATACACAATCTTTCTTCTATATATTACCACCACTGAATTAACTACTCCTATGAATCCGGTGTTCATGTTGTTGTGCTAATGCAGTATGGCAACTTGGACCGATGCATATACGTGGCTGGTCCTACGTTGCAGCTGACTGACTGACTGCTTCCAAATTAACATTTGGCTTTATTATTAATGATAATATGATATAATCATATTGTCTATTATAATTTCGTTCATTCATTTATATAATATTAGTTCCTATTTATAAATTATACTTTATTTACAATTATATTATAATATCATTTATTTGTATTCATTTACAACATTGTTGAAATAAGCTTAATCATTGTGTCATTTGTGTATATATAGTGATGTTTGTTTAAGTTGAATAATTTGATCTCATTTATTATTATTGAATTAAATGATCTAAATCTAAACATAGAAAGTTTATATAAGATTTGTTAGTTAGAGTTAGTCAATCAATCCGTCAGTCGGTCAGTCAGTCACTTAGCTGAAACATACAATCAGGTGAGAACATACTTACATGTATATATATTTATTCATCGATTCAAGTTGCCACACCTTATTAGTACAACAAGATGAATACCATATTCATAAAAAGTTGTTTCTTCAATGATAGTAATATTGATTGTGTATATGGTGTATATGGATATATAATACAGGTGGAAAAAATGAGTTGGTAGAAAGAAAGATATGAAGCGATTTTAATCTCATAGTTTAAAGGAATACAAAGAGTGTATACATTGAAGCTATTACGATTGATTCTGGATCATGTCACTCAAAGTCTTTAACCATAGAGGCGTCAACTACTAACATAGTTTAGATCAAAAGTTTCATGATTTCAAACACTGATGCTACATTTTGGTTTGGTCGACTCTTACATTCTTTGAACCGTCTCCAACACCTAATTAACATTGCGCGTCATGGTAATCAGTGTTCAGGTATATGTAACATGTGGTTCAACCATCTCAGTTTATGAAAATTTTACAAGTTCATCAACTGATTTACCATCATTCCCTAATACCCTACATCTAACCTCATTATTACTTATCCGGTAATCAGAGTAGATGACAACAATATTTCTAAGACATTTAAGGGTTTTCCAACTGCGCTAGGTGAATTATCCGTGTCCACCAACCCATTTCAAGCGCCGGACATTCGCTTTTTCATCCTCTTAATTTCGTAAACAACGCTTGCGCCACGAGAAGTCAATGAGTATGACTTCCCTAGCAAAGGTTATATATATACGTAACCATGTGAGAGTATTTGCCCCACCCAAGGCATTTGGAGACCAAAAATCGTAACCATATTAAGTACTTTATATTAATACAATTTTATTCGACTCTTTTCTTTCAAATAAATTCGTTAGAATGATTGATAATGATAATTCGCTTTTATTTATTATTGTGTCTTTTGTTGTTGTTGTTGTTGTTGTTGTATGATCTCTTTAAAACAACTAATCACTAGAGTTATATTCACTATTTATACTTTCACAATCTCTATCCCATTACGGGATTTAAATCAATAACTGAATCTCTTTACTAATGTGGTAATGATGACAATTCGAACAGTTATACTCACGTACGTACGATATTCCACGTTGTTACTAACTGACTAACAATGATTATGTTTCTCATTGATAATGTTTTAATAATATATGTCGGGTAGAAACAGGTGTCTACCTCAGTACAATGAATTGGTTGAGGTTTAGACATTAACACCATTGGATGCCGACTCAGTGGTCGAGTAGGTTAAGCGTTCATAAGCGAGTCTGAAGGCCCTGGGTTCGAATCCTACGAGCAGGATCGTGGATGCGCACTGCTAAGGAGTCCCACAATAGGACGAATCGACCGTCCAGTGCTTCCAGGTTTTTCTATGATGGTTTAGCATCAATCGCTTCATGATCTCAATATATATATATATATATATATATATATATATATATATATATATATATATAATTCGAGAATAAAGTAGAATATTTCAGAATTAGTACTTT